AGGGGGGTGAGTCAGAAGAAATATCCTGGTAAATAGAGCAAGTGAAAAGTTCTTTCCCCAAAGAAAGAACAAAATGCAACAACAAGAGGGAAAACTTTAGCAGTTCCCTGAGGAACTAAATTGTGCCACCGGCGGTTTGTTTGCTTCCTTTCAACTCCGCATCCTGCCTCCTTTTTCCAAAGGCCTCCGAACCACTCAAGGATATGCGGCGAAGGAGCGACCATGCAAAGTGAAGCTAAACGAAAGTGCCTCAATTTAAGTTGTAAGCTGATTTGCTAGGGCGTATACACCCACAAAAACCCCATATATATATATATATATATACTTATATGTACAGCCAGGACATGGGGAAGTGTATTCGCACATATGTGTGTACTGGGGGGAAGTCGCTTTTTGTGCCTTCGCTCATTGAAGTGGAAAAACTTTCTGGCTGGAGTAGCAACAGCAAATGCTTAAAATTAAGGCAAAACTTTGCCATGTATTCCCTTTTTCGGCGATGCCATTAGCGAGGGTCTCATACATTTCTAATGAAGTTGGGTGACTTGGCAAAATAAGGATAATATATGTGTTTTCCTGGCTGGTTTGCTTAAAGGTTAAGTGAACAGACATTATGTATTTTTATAAAATAAATTGTGGTCTGAATTAAGCTTATTTCTTAACAGGGTCTTATAACGAAAATATGTTTAAATAAACTATGCAAGCGATATACACAATATAAATAATTTTATTGAATGCTTTCGATATTTAAAAATGCTTAGATAATAAATGTGAATTCAGTTAAAACCAAATTTGTATGCATGTTTAACAAATATTTGACCAAAATCAAATAATTGAGTATCTACCGAAATTGAAACTCTGATTTCATACATGAATTCAATTAAAACCTAATGTGTACACATTTTTTTAGACATTTTAAACAATTTAAAGTACACTTAAATTTCTGTTAAGTCGAAAAACTACTTAGTGTGATTATAAATTACTCAGTGGGACTATTACAATCTCATGTGTATTTTCCACTCCACTCTGGCCATCTTCACTCTAAACTCTATCAAACCTCAAGAAGGGAATAGCTGCTTCTTCATAAATCCATAGACTCCCTTTCTTTTTTATAGACAGCACTCCGGATAAGCGGAGTGAAGGCTTCTTGTCTTTGAGCTGGCTGTTTTGGTCTGATTTTGACACAAATCCCTTTGGTGCTAAAGCAATTTATGCGGTTTCCAGCCATGAGGGAGGGAATGTAGCCTCCAACTACTCTCCACGGCCAAAAAACACACAAACACCCAACCCAAGTCCAACCAACCTAACCAACCAACTCAAGATGTGCGCTTCGAATGCGAGAATAGTTTTTCTGTATCCGAAAAGGACTGGGATTTGGGGGAGCAGCCCACATGCACTTGGCTGGGTTTTGGTTATGGCTGGTTGGTTATGGTTAGATTGGTTGCTTCGCTGCTGCTGCTGCTGCTGCATAAGTGCAATTTTATGTTTGGCCCCAAAAAGTTGCCTCCGCAGCGAAGTAGTTGATAAATGGCACACCGACAATGGCCGGTCGACAAAATCTATGGAAATCTCAATTCCAAATCCCACCCATGCCCAAACAATTCACAGCAGCAGCACGAGCATAAAAAAATGCAAATTTCTGTGTATAAATCTAAAAATTTTCATATATATAAATAAATATGGTCGCTGTTTTTTATGCCCGTCCCATATCGAGAATAAAAAGCAGGGAAAGGGCTGGCACCACCAGATGCCACGCCTAACGAGACGCCTACCTTTCCGAGTGCTACATGGCCGCAGATAAACCGTCCGAAAGTAATGCCAAAACATTTCGTGTCATAAATTTTACGACATAAGCGCGAAGGGCAAAACAGCACAAAAGCCAACATCCCGAAAAACCACAACATAAGGGAATAGCTGAAAGTTAGCGGAGATTATCCGAACTTCCTATACCCTTAAGCTAGAATGGATATTAAGATACATCAAATAGATTTTAAGGTTGGGCAAAGATATATATTTATTCGAAAATCAGTGCTAAAATTTGTATAAAGCTTATAATAAGTATATATATAAATATTTATATCCTTAAATTAGAACACAAGAAAAATAAACTGGTTTATAGTTGAAAATTTCCTATTTTGAAATATGGTATATTATTATATAGTCTAGTCTTGATAAATACGAATAAAGCTTTTTATATTATATCCAATCACATAATTGTGCTGTGTTTAAATACACTACAAAATAAGAATAGCCATTAAGTTCAGAGCATACACAAGTAATGCCCATTATAATAAATATTGATTTACAATTTTTTGCGCTTAGGACATTAATTTGGCCAAAACAGGGGTGTTGTCTGAAAAAGTTTTAGTTTTACTCTTGCTCGATAGAGATTGAACAAAATTTAAGATAATAAAACAAAAACGCAAATCACTATGCTGTACGTCCCCAATAAACATATAGTTACTGCTTAAATTCGAATCTCCACAGTAAATTTGATTACATTTTTAACTCCCTTTGTTGCGCTACTGATAAGAGACGTATATATATACCAAGTGCAAACGGAAATATAATGATATTTAGCTTTTTAAGGGGAATTCGTTGAGCTATAAATTAATTTAAGTGCCTGAAAATATTTTTGATAACATAAAATGAAGCCAAGCGAATCTCGAGATCCCTTTTCTTGTTGTTATTTCACGACAAGACCTGAAAATGTAAACGGCCGGCCATTAAACGAAACGAGTTGGATATAGTTTAATGGCTTAATATTTTGGAAGGAGATCGAGCTTTTGACTGGTGGTGGTTTTTGCCGACATTTCCCAATATTCGGCCTCGCTTTGGCCAATTCTATTTGTCTTCTGCCTGAAAATTTAATTAAAAAAGTCGAAAGCATGCAAACGAAGTTTTTTAAGGGAAAGCAAAATGTGGCTGGCATTAGCCCAAACTTTCCGGCGACTTGTCTTCGAGCCCGGCCACCAAAGGATGCGCCAAAGGAAGGGCCACAACTTGGCAAACTTCAGCGGAGCATCTCGTTATCATCGCCCATCATCAGAAAATAACAGAAACAGCAACAGCAGCAACAACGCGATGGCAAGCCACTCGTCTTCGATTCCTTCGTTAGCAATACTTTTAAAGTAAATTGCGGCAGACCCGGCAGCTAGGACATTGTGGGTGTGGGTCTGGGTGTGGGTTGTTTCGATGCGGGTTTCGGCTCGGAGTTTTCCCGGATTCGAGAAACTGCGGCTCTGTGCACACGTTACGGCACTTTGCCCTCGCTCCACGGTTCGTTTGGTTTTGATTTTTCACTGCTCGTCATGGTTTATGCTGGCTGCTGGCCCCCGCTTTTATTGCTCTCACCGAAGCTAGGAAAATTAATTGCATGCAAATATTGACACAGTAAAAGTAAATATAATTTCATTGTTTACTCATAAATACACATTATTTGGAAAATGAAAGTAGAAAAGCTCCCCCGTCCAGGAAGCAAAAGAAAAACGAAAAAACAAAGATGAACTAATTTCAGTAATACCAAAGTGACACATTGGTTTTCTGAATAAAGAATACATCGTTTTCTCTTTATAAAATAAAATTACTACTTATCTCAACTTCATATTATTTTCTCAAATATTTCTTTAAAATACCTATCTTAACCTATCTATCTTAAACAGGTATAAAACAGAAAGTCGGGAAATGTTTCTAATTGTTTTACTAAATTGTAGCCTAAAAATTAATAGCAATTATAAGAAAAAACAGTTTATGAAAGCTACGGATGGCGGTTCTTCTGATTTTCTAGGATTGCCTTGGGCAGATTTAAACATTCGCTCTAATCGGTTTAAATGTTCGGCGAAAATGCTTTTGCCTAATTAGCATCATTATTTTTGATGGGGTCACGCAGGCAACAAAGAACGCCGCCGTATTCCATAACATCCTTTACCAGGAACCGAAAGCTGGAAGGAGTCGAGTCTGATAAATGGGCAAATGCTTAACAAAGGTAATTAATGGCAAAGTGCAGGAGGGGTACTGAAATTTGACGGAGATGAGGCTTTCAGGCGATAATTAATGTGCCTGCTAAGCACGAACATGAGTCCTCAATTGCACCGTTGAACAGCGGTTCCGGAGTTGATAAAAATTGATGCCAATTAAAAGTTGGCAATCTGTGAGCCTGTCAAAATGGGTCAAGTTTTCAAGCTAACCCCCAAAAATTCGCTTCTCGCTTTTCAAGAAAACTTTTTGGCGAACAAGTATAGCCTTGAATTGCCCACAAAAGAACCCTCAATGTTTAAAACCCCCGAGCTGGTACTGAAAAACAACAATTTACGCCTCACAACTTACACGAGTGTTGTGCTTAATCGTCAAAAGCACTTCTTATCGGAAAGCATTTCCCACCCAACTCCCAAGAAAACTTCGCTCATAAATTATTACACAAAATTAGTTGCACTCCCGCCGGAGGAAAACAGGAAAATCAAGGAAACCAGGGAACATCTTCAATGACTTAAAAAATTTAAAGCCTGCAAAGAAAATGAAATATGGCCGGGCCAAGACAAAAAGCTAAATAATCACAGACATGTCGGATAATAAATGATTAACGTCCCGTCGAGATGGTGGGTGGGTTTTTAAGGAAAGCAACCCATTTGAGGTCATTTGTATACATCTCAGAATTTCCCCACTTTCTCAGCTCGGAGATTGTAGATTGCGGGAGAATGTTGACCATTTCAATGACTCAAATTGATATTGATGAGCTAATCCCATTTAGGGCAGGAAAATGGAAAAAGGAAAGTTTTAAACATAATAAACTCATTTCTAATATGAGACATTCAATATTCTTCTTTTTGTTTACTACTAAATTAACAACGTGAATGTAAAACAGGAATAATGTATATATATATATTTAATTATTAAGATAAAGTTGAAAAAAATATAAATTCAAGAAAAAATATAATTTTGAGTAAGTAACATACATAATGCTCATATAAAAACACATATCTAACAAAGTAGGTCAGACACATACTTCTTAAAAAAGAAACAAAGCTATACAATCTGTTTAACACTGAGACCTAAGGTGCACTTTAAAAATGCGAGATCGTAAGCATCGGAAAAAAATTCAACTGCAGAAAGAGCGAAGGGATCGAATCCTAAAATTCCTTCAAGAAAACCGGGAAGTCAGGCTCATTGATGTTCCAGTAAAGAAAACCCCTGCAAACCAAAATAAACAACCTCAAAATGAGGCAAAACATACAAAAACGGAGCTAGCATTATGTTTAACCACGACTCCTTCAATGGATCAGCGATTTACTGCCGGTTAGTGAACCCATAATAAAATTCATATATTTTACTGCCACCTCTTAATTTCTTAAGGCGAGAATAATCCCGGCGTCCGCAAAACGGGAATACAACCTCGCGACGATGAAGAATGTGAATTCAACGCACCGGGTTTTTATTTTCTTAAAGGACGAAACACAAATTTAAAAAAGCAAGAAGTTTTCCTAAAACCCGCCAAGCCCCAACGAAAGGAGTTGAAGAATAAGTGTGATTTCTTTCCAAAATATGTGGATCCCTCACCATTTAAAGACCAAAACACCCAGACGCTATATAGGTTGGATAATTATTCAACAAAGTAGTATTGTATATTACACATCCTAATCCTTAGGGAGTCCTCGGCGCAGACTGTGGCCTATTTGCCCGAAATATATCCTGGTTTTGAAGACCCTACCCTCGAGCTCTTAACACTTCCTTCCGTGCTGCCTGGCAATAAGCCACCGGGTCTCTATGAGGTTGAAGTTTTGGAGCGATCCCGCAAGCGTCGGAAATTCTTGGAGGCAGTAAAGACCAATTTTAGCCAGCTCTGGCTTAAGGACCGAGAACTTGCCACATCCAATTATAAATCCCTGTTGGAGGCCTTTGAGTGGGAGCACTGGGTGGAGCGGGAGGAGCAGATCCAGGAGTGCCAGATGATGCGAATGGAGATCGTGATCAAGATGTTTGACAAGAGGGAGAGGGAAATGCATGCCGCCTCCAAGACGAGATTGGAAAGAGGTTGCGAACTGATTGAGAAACGTCGGAGGGCGGCGCTGCTGAAGAATGAAATCGAGTACCAGCGTGGTATGCGCCGCATAAGTAAACAGCTGACCAAAACATCGCTGAGATGGAAGAAGCAGTCACCCATATACAGCCTGGGATCCCCTTGCTCGGAATTCTACGCTCCGCCCTTGAGATATGGAGTGGATCCGGCCCGTCGAAGTTTCGTCTCAACCACTGCCACTCGTGCTTTCAACATGAGAATCGACGAATTGGAGAGGCAAATAAATCTTAAAATAGTCGAGTGCCCATTCGCCAAACTCAATCAGTGGTCCAAGGCAAAGGAACGGGTTCTAGAGGTCGAGAATCGTTTCTGCAATGAGACCCAACTGGACATCCTTTACCAATCTCTTAAGACATTGAGTGCGGGGTATGAAGAACACTGGAAAAAACCCGAATGTCTTAAGCTACGCCCTCAGCCTCAACATTGGTCCAGCAAATACTCCCGGCAAACATTGATGACAATTAAGAGTTTCTCCAGCCTGTATGCCAAAGCCAAAGATGAGGAAATCGGACCACCATCGCTGAGATCCTCAACAAAAGAGGCTGTAAGACAGCATCTAAAAAGGGACAAGAATCAGTTATCCGAAGATTACATTGAGAAAATGTTGAAAGACGATCATAAAAGGGATTTGAGGAATATGATTGTCGCCTACGAGGGCAGTGCGGTTGGTTATGTAATGCAGTTCCTCACGGAGGAAATGTGTCGGTTGAAGGAGCAGCGCCGGCTGCACTTCTTCTCTGTTCTGGCACAAAAGGAGCGATGGCGACGCGAATCCATCGAGGCGGGATTGAGGCAGAAGGAGAACGCCATGAGGAGGATGTACGAGGAGATGTTCCAGCAATCGAATGTGATCCGCTCTGAAGTCAGTGATCTCTATATCCAGAACATTTTGACAACCGATGTGGGTTACATGGCGGCCAAAGAAGCAGAGGAATCGGTTACCGAACTGGCCAAACAAATTGACGTGGACATAGAACGCTGGCTGGAGTCCTTTAAGCTCATCCAGAATCCTCTCACCTTTATTCCCCTGCGACTGATGCTGCGGGACATGGTCTGTCCGGATATGAATGCTGTGCTGCACCGCTATGAGACTTCAATGATTGTCCAGTACATAGTGGAAGATGTGATCTTTGGTAGAGTCTGGAAGGAGCTCGAACCGTATGATATATCCAGCACTCTGACAAGCGATCTTATTGATCGCCTCATCGACAACGATTTGTATTTGTTCTCCTCAGAAAGTGAAAGCGAATCACCTCAGGAAACTTCCTGGTACGAAGCCCATGCCATAATACGCAAACTTATTCGACAATCGGTTCCCGGCAGACGTTGGAAAGAGGAGATCGAGCGTATCGTCTACGAGAATTATAATGACCTGCTAGATGAAATCTTTGCGGAAATGATTTACAAAAGGGACAATCCAGCACCCATCGAACCTGTTATAGTGCACATATCGATTTCGTATGACAACCTTTTACATGACGATGAAACAAAGTTAAAGAAGCGTAAATTGTCCCAACTGTCGGAAAATCAATCTGATATGAGTTACGAATCTCATTTAGAGAAAAACCAACTTTTATCACTAATAAAAAAAAAAAAAGATAGGAAGCAGTTAGTTTCCCCCGTTGTCAAGTGTAGCGATACTAAGACGATGTCACCCGACTCGGAAGAAAACCCTTGGCCTTGGCTTCCAGATTGTGTTACACCCCCATCGCAAAAACATTCTGATACTGACATCGAGAATCAGTTGGAATCCTAACTTAAAAAGACATAAAAAGCCATCCCAAAATTGTAATGGATAGGGATAAATGACTTCAGTAATATTTTTATTTATGTATATTTTCAATAAAGATTGTTGCTAGCGTGTAACATAAATAGGAGGGTATTTATAAACATACATATTATTTTATTTAAAAAAATACAAAATTATAAACGCTTTGTCCTAAACACAAAATGGGATGAGACTTTCATTTCCCTTATCAGAGACCTATATAACAGAAAAATATGGATTTTGCAACAACCCATTTGTTTTGGTACCCGAATCGGCTCCTATCGATTGGCCAATAAACAAATTTGGCTCCCTAGCAGCAACTCGGTTGCCTGGCGAAACGCAATTGCTCCTCATTGACTGACTAACCCAATGTTCTTCACAATCCAAAAAAGGTTGAGCTGGTAGGCAGCAATTTTGGCTAGTTAACCCAGTAAGCTATTTACATAAAACTGAGAGCTTAAATTGTAAGCGTGCATTAATCACACTTCAAACAAAAAACACCTAGAAACACCCAAAAATAGGAACACCAACCATAGGGTTGCATTTTTGCCTGATTTGAACAAGAAATGCCCTCAGCAAAGGAAAAGCTATTGCGGAAGGAACGAATTCTTCAGTTTATCCGGGAAAATCGAGAGCTGAGGCCGATAAACTCCACTTCGGTCCTTCAATCAGCTTCGCCAAGAAAAGATGAATCTTTGCGACAAAAGAAACGCGTATCTTTCACTCATGGCAAGCAGCAACGAAGCTTTGGAGAATCCGCCAAGTCCAGGGACAATGAAAATATTTTTGGACAGGGCCTTACGTCATGCCTAATCACAAAGCCCTCAGATACCAGATTAACTGGCGGTGGGTCAACCCAAAATATAAATGAGCTTGAAATAATTGTTCTTCCAAACTTCCAGGTGTCAACAATTCAGTCGAGAATGAGGTGGAAAACTCTCAAGCAGACAACAAGTCCCAATTCAAGTCGTTATACAGAAGGTCCCCAGATTCCCGATTAACTGCTGGTGGGTCTGTCCCAAAACAGTGATATCTCAGAGGTCTAAAACATTTCTTTCTAGGCGCCAACAATCCAGCGGTTCGCAATGTTGGAAGATTGCCTCGCACCGACAGCGAATGTCATTTTAATGAGCCAGGTATCTTCTTTCTGCAAAAAGTACACTCGGATCTGGCGTCTCAAGAAGTCAAGCTGAACTCGAAGCGCTTAAGAAAGGAACTGAAAAACAAATGTGACTACTTTCCGAAGTATGTAGACAATCGACCGTTTAAGGATGAGGCCACACAAACGCTTTATAGGTAAGATACACTCTGGATACTCTGGTTATATAACCGCTAAGGAAATGTGACTCTTTTTCAGGGAATCTTCTGCGCAGACCCTGGCATTTTTACCCGAGATACTTAACCGGGAAAGATTTGAAACCGTAGAGCTTTTCACTTTGGCCAAGTTGCTGCCAGGCGACAAGCCACCAGGACTGCGTGAAGTCGAGTTTCTGGAGCGGTCCCGCAAACGATGGGACTTCAGTAAGGCCCTGAAAACGAACATGAAGAGACTGCTCAATGAGGCCAGAAAAGTGTCTATAAAAACGGAGTACAAAGAGATTTTGGATGCCTTCGAGTGGGAGCAGTGGATCCAGCGGGAGGAGGACATACAGGAGTGCCAGATGATGCGGCTCGAGATCGTGATCAAGATGTTTGACAAGAGGGAGAAGGAAATGCATGCCGCCTCCAAAGCACGAATAGAGAAATCCTTCGAACACATCGAGAAGCGTCGCCAGGCGGGTCTGCGCAAGAACGAGGTCGAGTTTCAGCGGGGAATGCGTCGCATCAGTATTCAGCTGGCCAAAACCTCCCGAAAGTGGGAGAAGCAGAGTCCCATGCAGGCCCTTGGATCGGCCTGTTCCGAGTTCTACGGCCCCCTGATAAGGCATGGTGTTGATCCAGCCCGAAGATGCTTTGAATCCTCCACTGGACGCAAGGCATTCGACATGAGGATCGATGATTTGGAGAAGCGAGTCAATATGCGAAATGTCCAGTGTCCATTCAGCAAGCTTAAGGAATGGTCCAAGCCCAAGGAGTATGACAAGGAGTATGAGCGTAACTTCTGCAATGATGATAACCTACAGCGGCTATACGAGTCCCTAAAAACACTGAGAACGCAGGCTGACACGGTGAAGGATGCACCCAATTGTCTAAAAACACGATTACGTATAGAGCGCCGAACGCCCAGTACGGATTCAAGTGATTCCTATCGTCCGTACGATATGGTATCCAGAAAGACACGGATTGCCGAGTATACAAGTGCAAGCCATATCAACAAGCCAACCCGTATTTCGAAGGTCTCACAAAAGGCTGAGAAACCACAAAGGGACTCGATGAGAGGACGCGAGGACTTGGAGCATCTGATATGCTCATACGAAGGCAGCTATATTGGGTCGATCATGCAGTTCCTTGCCGATGAGATGCAACGATTGAAGGAGCAACGCAAACTGCACTTCTTCTGCATTTTGGCCCAAAAAGAACGCTGGAAGCGTGAATCTGCCGAGGCGGGATTGAGACAGAAGGAGAACGCCATGAGGATGGTCTACGAGGAGATGATCCAGTATTGCAATGTGGCACACAGTGAAGCCGCACAGCAATATGCCGACACCATATTGTCCACCGACATTGAACACATGATCGAGGACGAGGCTGCCGAGACTGTGACTGAGATGGCAAAGCAAATCGATGCCGACATAGAGCGTTGGCTGGAGTCCTTCAAGCTCATGCAGACTCCTCTCACCTTTACTCCGCTGCGACTGATGCTGCAGGACATGGTCTGTCCGGATATGGGAGCTGTGCTGCAGCGCTATGAGACTTCAATGATTGCCGGGTATATAGTGGAAGATGTGATCTTTGGTAGAGTCTGGAAAGAGCTCGAACCCTATGACATATCTACCACTCTGACCAGTGATCTAATTGATCGCCTCATCGACAACGACCTGTATTTGTTCTCATCGGACAGCGAATGCGAGGGTCCCCAGAAAAGTTCCTGGGTTGAGGGCCATGCTATAATCAGAAAACTTATTCGCCAGGCGGTTCCGGGCAGACGTTGGAAAGAGGAGAACGAGAGGATTGTCACCGAAGTCTATAAAAGCCTGTTTGATGATGTGTTCTCCGAAATCCTTTTTAAGATCGAGAATCCGGAACCTGTCCTCCCATCCGACCTTCTCAGGCTTCGTCCTAGTAAATCATACACTCACTTCGGTCAAGACATTCCAAAAACATCGACTTCGGAGGAGAAAGTCTCTCGTTCAGATTCGATGCAACCAACAACACTTTTACGCATGCAATTTCTAGCTCTAGTGAAAAAGTATAAAGCAGAGAACATTACCAGGGAACTTAAGAGGGATAAAAAATATTCACTTCCTGAAAATGATTCTGGCTTACTTGACTTTATAAAAAGCGAGGAGCTCCAGCAAACAGAAATCTTAAATATTCAACCCAATACTCCACAGCCTGAATTATTTAGCATCAAAAGCACTGTCGATCTTTCCGAGTATGTGGGAAATTTAAACGAACTACGTGGTTCCTCGGTGGTCCAGGAGTTCCCCTTAATGGAAGAACCAATTTTGGCTGAGAATGTCGAAGAAGAAATTAAAAGTAGCTCCTCTGAAGAAAAAGTGGAACGATTAACTGCAGACCCAATTCAACTAGAACGTTTGCAAGTAGAACAAGAAGAAACCGAAATTGAATTAGAAATAGAAAAGGAAATAGTAGCAAAAGACACAGAAGATGTAGATCAAGAAGATAATATATCAAATAAGAGTATGCTAGATATTGATGGCGCAACAACCACCAAAGATGATGAATTTGAGGAAGAGCATTCCGAAATGGGTGAAGAGGTTGTTGTTTTTTACCCTAAAGATTCGCAGCTCTTCAAGTTCAGGTAATTTTTGAAATTCCTAGTTTTCAATTCTTAGGTAACGGTACTTTTCGTTACTTTCATACGCATACAATTACGGAATTTATATTTGAAAAGCAATACGAATAAATAAATTATAGAAAACTAATCTAAGCCTATTTTATATGGTATTCAAAATGATTTATGGGTAATATGGCGAAATAGAGAAATTTGTTTTTATTATTATTTGCATTCCCAAACCTTTTTCATATTTATAGTTATATTTTTTTGTATTTACCATGATCAGACTTTTTATTTAATTTAGCATGAAGCAAACGTTAAAAAATATAGTTTAATAGAATAAATAGACAGTTTTTAGAAACTCAGCTGACACAGCAGAGCTGTGCCGCGAATAATCCAATGGGAGATTGGAGTGTTGGGATTGCAGAGTAGCAACATGGCCACCACAAAGTTAGTACTATGACCTGTAGTGGACAACACACCTCGTCTTTCTGCTGTCTTGTACATTGGACAGAGGTAATTATGACGCTCGGGCAGGTCAACCCGCTTGAGTGGCTTCAACCAAATCAACGGCATCGTGTCAAACAGTTCCCTTGGCCGAGACTCGGCAAGATACTTTCCAGTGCGATCCCAACGAGCACCCTCTAGGAAAATGCCATACACAAAGACACCATCCGCGGGACCAGATAACCCACCTCTTTGGCTCTCCTCCAGCGAGAGAACCTCGTAATCGAAGGCCAGCAAATCTATGGATATGACATACTTTCGCGCATAGTTCTGCTGGGCACCCGTCAGAAAGGCTTGTGTGAAGAAAAAGCCGGAGAGCCAGAAGGTTGATGGAGCTCCGTGATCGTACCAGTTCTATGACATAAAGAAATAAAGATTTAATTCGTAATTCATTAGATTTTTATTACTCACCTGCAGGAACTCAAGGCGGCGCAGAAAATCGGCCACATAACTCCCCAAAGGTTTCAGACTTGGGTACGATTTTCCAGCCCACATTGCTGGTATCTTGGCTATCAAGACGGATTTGTAAACCGCCTCAACAGCGGCAGACATTACAACCAAACCTGAAGGTAAAAATTTAAGTTAATTAAAAATATAATTCGTCATTAAAGATAGTTATTTTTTATACATCTTACAAGTTTTCCTTAATAGTACATTCTCAAGTTTCATTTAAATGACATGTGATGCAATGATTAATTAAACTTAGTAGCCCAATAAAAATACAAATCAAAACTAATTCGAAATGAAACTCATTTGATAAAACAATACTCATTAAAACACACTGACAAAATACACTATTAAAAAAACTAAAAAAAATTAAAAACTGTTATTTCACTTAATGATATAATGCCAATACATAACAAGCGACAAGTAAATCAGGTTAAGTTTAGAGTCCCACCGGAAGAACGATTAAATACAGCTGTAAGTTCGTCAACTTTTGACAAATCATCTGGACATCACCAGGACAACTTAAAAGGGATTGCGATTAGCAAGGAGAAAAACAAGGACAGGCTCAGTAGAAAAACTGAAAAGCAGAGTGAACATGGCCTAATATCATGTTTGATTACCAGTTCCCCAGATCTTCGAATGGGTGGAGGTATATATATACATAGAAATATAAATTTCAGATTATTGACTGCCTTTATTTCCTAGGTGAAAATGATCCAGCTCAGCGACATGTTGGAAAATTACCTCGTACCGACAGCGAATGTCAGTTTCAAGCTCCGGGATATCATTTTCTTACCAAACGAGAACCAAGTGTAAAAACTCAAGAGGTCAAGATGAGTCCCAGCATAGTTATGAAAAAGGAATTGAAACACAAATGCAATTTTTTCGCTGAACTTGAAGACACGCAACCTTTTAAAAACAAAATCACCCAGACGCTCTACAGGTAAACAAGAAGTAAACATAAAGCAACTGTACATTATCAAATGTGTTCATTTCCTTTAGGGAATCCTCTGCGCAGACCATGAGTTTTTTGCCGGAAGTTCGTTATGCAGACAAAAACAAAACCTTGGAGCTATTTTCCCTACCATCTGTGTTGCCTGGATCAAGTCCACCAGGACTTCACGAGGTCGAGGTCCTGGAGCGTGCCAGAAAGCGATGGGCCTTCAGTGATGCCCTGAAGATACACTTCAAAAGACTCCTTAATGAGGCGAAGAAAGTGGCTTTAAATACCGAGTACAAGGAGATCTTGAATGCCTTCGAGTGGGAGCAGTGGATACAGCGGGAGGAGGACATACAGGAGTGCCAGATGATGCGGCTCGAGATCGTGATCAAGATGTTTGACAAGAGGGAGAAGGAGATGCATGCCGCCTCAAAGTCGAGAATTGAAAAGGCGTGCGAGAGAATCGAGAAACGTCGGGAGGCGGGTTTACGAAAAAACGAAATCGAGTTCAAGCGGGGCATGCGTCGTTTGGATTTCCAAGTTGCGAAAACTTCGCGCAAATGGGAAAAGCAAAGCCCAATGCATTCTTTGGGATCCCCGTGCTCCGAATTCTATGCCCCGCTTTTAAGATACGGCGTCGATCCGGCACGTCGAAATTATGTCTCAAAAATTGGACAAAAGGCCTTCGACATGAGGATCGACGAACTGGAGAAGAAAGTCAACATTAGCAGCCTTAAATGTCCATTTAGAAAGCTGAAGGACTGGTCCAAGCCCAAGAAATATGAAAAAGAATATGAGCGGAACTTCTGCAATGATGACAATCTGCAAAAGCTCTTCGAAAGCCTAAAGGCCCTTCGAACTCAGGCCGCCAAGGAGAAAGAAGAGCCCAAATGCCTGAGAAAGCGATGGAAGCCAACAATTACTAAAACGCCATCCCAAATGAGCCTGGGACATCTAACTTACGTCTTCCAAGTCCAGTCCAAATCAATTATTGAAGGACCGGGCAATGCAGAAGCCAATGACAAGTGGTCTGCTTTCGTTGAGGAAGAGAAAATCCGAAATTCAGCAACCGTGATTGCGGATTTGAAGAGCGATAGAAAGAAAGAGAACATGGAGCACCTCTTGAACATCTACGAGGGCACCTACATTGGATGGGTGATGCAGTTCCTCTCGGAGGAGATGACTCGTCTCTCCGAGCTGCGCCGGCTCCACTTCTTCTCGATTATGGCCCAAAAGGAACGCTGGCGACGCGAGGCAGCCGAAGCTGGTTTGAGACAGAGGGAGAACGACATGAGATTGATGTACGAGGAGATGTTCCAGCATTGCAATGTGGTCAACAATGATGTCTCCAATAAATATATCAGCACCATTCTGAACTCAGACATGTACAATATGGCCGAGGGCGAGGCTACCGAGACCGTAAGTGAATTAGCCAAGCAAATCGATGCGAATATTGAGCGCTGGTTGGAGAGCTTCAAGCTGATCGAGAACCCCCTAACATATGTTCCCCTACGGCTGATGCTAAACGACATGGTATCGCCCAATATGGAAGATGCCCTCCAGTGCTATGAGTCCTTCCTGATTGCGCAATACGTGGTGGAGGATGTGATCTTTCCAAGAGTGTGGGATGAACTAGATCCATTTGACATAGCCAGCACATTAACGAGCGATCTCATTGATCGCCTGATCGACAACGATTTATATCTCTTGTCCACGGACAGTGAAAGGGAAATCCCTCAACGATCCTCCTGGTGTGAGGCCCATGCCATTATTAGAAAGCTCATCCGACAGGCAGTACCCGGAAGACGTTGGCTAGAGACAAATGAGCGCATTGTTACCGAGAACTATAACGATCTTTTTGACGACATATTCGCCAGAATTATACAAGATATGGAAAATCCTCCATGCGTCAACCCCAACGATTTAATCGATCTGCATATGACTGTTTCTCAAAATGCCATTCGAAGCTCGGACAATATTCGAGAAAAGGAAATTTTTGATTTCGGAAATTTTAATTCACTGCCAGGATCCGACTTTTTACGAAAGCAAACGTTGACCTTGATGAAAAAATTCAAAGTCGACAATATAACAAGACTATTAGAAAACGTTGATGATATACCAGTGGAAGACCGGCCATCTAGTAGCGATGAGTTTATAAAATCTCAAATGATTAATCCCATTAGCAATCTACAAAGGAAGCCAAGTGAAGTTTTCAGTATAAAAAGCACTCTTGATATTTCTGAAATCTTTGATTTTTCACCATTTAAAGGTAGAGGCTATAGAGTATTGCTCCCCAACGGTGAAGAAAAAAATGCTGATATTGGTATATTGGAATTTCTTCAAAAAGAGGACGATGAAGAAGAAAAATTGGAATTAGCCAACAGGCTTAAGGAAAATAAAATGAATAAGGATATAGAAATAGAGGAAGAGGATGTGCCAGATATTGATTCGCCAAGAGTCTCGTTTCATCAAATGTTCACGCAACCATCTAAATCACTTGATAATCAAGAGGAGTTTAAAATCGAACAAAAAGAATTAAAGATGGATTCAACGAAAAAGAAATTTGAACAAATTGATTATACTTCCAATGAATTGGAACAAATGGATTCATTTCCCAAAAAATCTGAGCTTATGGACTCAACTCCTACAGAATTGAAAGCAACTGTTGACTCAACTCCTACAGAATTGAAACCAACTGTTGACTCAACTCCTAAGAAGTTGATTTCCATTTCCCCAGATTCCAAGGATTTGAAATCCATTGATTCAATTACCCAGGAATTGGAACAATTTGAAGGAGCAGCGAATGAACCGGAATCGGAACTGGAAGCCGAATTCACATCCGAACTCAGTTCTGAACCTAGCTCCAAACCCATGGTCCACACTTCCGTATCCTTCATTCCACCCGTACGTTCATCGGGGTTGAAAACTTTGAAGCCATCGGGTAGTTTACTTAAACCTGATCAAGATAAAATCAAAAAATTAAAGGATAAAAAGGATAAGCCCGAATCTCAAGAGGATGAAGAAAATGAGGAAAAAAGACATCTGGGCTCCTTAGGCTCCCACTTCAATACTGCCCTTGACGCTGAGATCCCCATTCAAACAAGTGACGATCATTTACCCTTAAATAAAAATACCGTAGAAAACGCAAGTAGAAGAGTCTCAGATTCTGCATCATAAATAAATATCATAAATAAATATTATATTAGCACACTAATATAGAACAATAAAGCCGTTTTATCAAACTTATGGTAACTACATAAATAAATAATATTTTATTCGTGGGGTTCTTTAAGCTGATCATTATTTATTGTAGCATTTGTTCTTAGATTGATTTGTTTTACTAAATAATTACAGTTTGTAACTTGTAATCTCATAATTAAAATATTTCCCATCAGTTTAGATAGTAACAAAAATCACTCACCCTTGATTCCCTTTCGCAGCGTGATAAGACTGGTTCGGATCGTGTTCAGCAGGACATTAAAGCGTACCATCTCCTGAACCAGCACCGTGTTCATACTCTGGTGGTACAGGGTCGGATATTTGAGCAGGGCTGTGTCGCGATCGAAGAGCTTGGGTAACTTTTCCAGGATATCGGTGGCCACATTAGTGACGACCTCCTCGGGGGTTAATGCCTTGGAACCGCTGCTGTCATCAGAGGAGGCACTCGTGTCCTTCAGGGGCAAATGGTGCAGGGCAAGGAAGGGAGGACAGGTAGGATAAGTGGGAAGGGAAAGGTTTTCGGGGAAGCGTCTGCTAAGCGTTTCTACATAGACCCTTTGTTTTTTCTCCAATTTCTAATGAGCAGCGTGTCGATCAAGAAAATCATTAAATATCTGTTTTAAAGCGTTAACAAGGACTAGCTGGCACTTACGCGTCGATCATAAAGGTCCTACATAAATTGTGACAATAAACCCGTAAATATTAATAAACATATTTGTAAACAAATTACTTCCAAAAATTCTTACCCAACGTTCCTTTTATGGCAATGCGAGCAATGAAGAAGCAGAAATATTAAGCAAGGTTTTTAACAATCACAATACTAAATACGAAAACTACTCAAACTAAAAATACTTTTCTCTACCATCTAAACAAGGTGGACTCACCTGTGTGAGCAGAGTGTGCGAAAGCAGCATGTCCGTTTCCTTTTGGTCCTTCATGATATCCGCATTGGCATGGAATCCAAAGATGGCCGGCGTCGAGATCTGCGGAAGTTCTCGCGTGAAGTTCAGATACAAGTCCACCTCCTTGAACACCGGCACATAATATTGTCCAGATTCATCGAGGTAGTAAGGCTTCTCCAGGTCTATAACCGCTGGACAATAATACTTGTCCAAAATGGTTTTCAACGTCCGACGATCCCAATCATCCGTAACTCTTCCTCCGTAATTGCACTCGCCCGTTAAATACCGCAACGCATCATAGTTCACAGTCTCATATTGGTTGAGGAACATCCTTAACTGCATCAGGGAAATCCTGAGATCAGTTTCATTAAACTCGTAGGGGATGTTCCAGCCTATTGGTCCAAAGTATCTTCTCTCCTGTATAACCGCATGGAAAAAGCACAGCGAGTATATGAGCTGCTTGAAGATCCTTGGCTGCGTGCACGACTCGTACCACTCCGGATCACTGATCGGATCACTCAGCATCGAGCGGAGAATGTTGGAACGTAAGCCCTTGGGCGGTTCATTGGTCATCTTGATGCCATTCTGCAGGACCACAACCGGAAAATGGTCCGCCGGATAGGAGGTGAGCCATAGCCTAAAGTCCGGATGTGTAGCATCCGGCAGGAGGTTCTCACAAATCTTCTCCAGCAATGGCATAAAACTAGCTGCCAAATGGCAATTCTGCAGCACCACCCAGTTGCCCATCTTTACACCTTCGTCGATCATCTTCATCGCAATTGGACCTTGACCTTGGCCCAAGGACAGTGAGAATAATCGGTTAGTACCAAAGCCCTGATCCTCGGCAAATTTCAGAAGCGTTGCCGTGGGATCCGAGCCAGGGGTCAAGATGAATATCAAGGGCACACAACAGTGCGAGTCGGCGAAGGAGGCCATCAAATCAAACTGCGGTGGATCCACAAATCGTTCACCCATCTCGCCCTTCACAAAATTTAGCACAGCCGGCACCAGCTTATCCGGTCGAAAGACGCGGAGAAGCAAAAGCTTTTGGAATGTGGTCACTCGCTTGTCCCAGCTTTTCGGTACGTCCTTATTATCCTGCGGCGTCTTCGAATCAAAGAAGGACTTCCATTGTGCCGAATTGTCTGTGAAGTCCTCGCGTAAGCCCTTGAAATTGGACAAATTAGTCAGGCGACAAAGCTCATCCCAATTTTGGATGCCCAGCCAGCTGGTTGGATTCTTGAACGGATTCTCCAACCCAACGCCTCCAGTCAGCAGAAACATCCATTCGGCATTGTCAATCCGATTTTCATGCTTCATCATGTTGATGTTCAATATTAGCGAAAACAGCAGCTTATCCTGTGTTCAAAGGTCAGAACATTTAATTACACTTAGATTAAATAATTGAAATGGTATTATGGGTTCTGGAAATAGTTTACAATTATATTCATTTATAATTCTAGTCGTCAACTGTTCTCTGTTAGGTGTTAGTAAATTAATATTTGTTATATTTAACGTTTTTAACTATAACCCACATCTGGCTTAAAGTATACCAGCCACAAAATTCGTAATTTAAAATATAAATAGTTATATCTTTGCATTTGATTTTCCAATCCAACTTTTTCCTTTGTGTATAAATAGGTGAGGGATAAGAAGTGATGTGATGTGATTGGGGTCGTTCAGGGTCAGAGTTTAGAGGCTCACACTCGCATTCAATGGGTTTCTCGAAAAGGTTGCCCACCGAAATCAAAGCATTTTCCTGGCCAAGCAGCGATGCTGCTCCTCTGATAGCAATTCACTTCCATTTTTTTGTGCACAAGAAAATTAAAAGCTAGGGATCAAAGGTTAGCGCATGGCAGGGTTGCAAAAGGGGGTGAAGGCGAGGGGACAGGGAAAGGCCATGGCATAATTGACTGAAAACAGCATAAAGCCAGCTAGAACTTGTTTGGATTATTATTTCCTTTTTGCCTCAGCTTCCTTTGGCTAGGTACATCCTTTGATTGCACCAGCAATGTAATAACATTATTCGAGCAGCTGCACGGTGGATGTAAACGAATTACAAACTCAACTATAAATACCAATATGAACAGTTGGAAAATGATTGCACTATTTACCTTGAAATCGAATGATTTCACTGAAAAGAAATAAAAAACCTGAATGATTCGTACGGTAAATATTCCCAATTGTTCTTTGGAATGACATAATTAAATCGAGCAATAAAATAAAATAAGGTAAAGGGGTATACCAATAATAACATTTTTTGGATAAGAATTGGATCTTTGCTTTCCATAGTGAGCACTCAGTGTTTAGTTACAGCAACTGCTTCAACTCTATTGTCCGTAGAAGTGGCTTTACAGTAGAATGTACTTGTGGGGCAGTAATGCTTAAATATTATTTAAAAGCAGTCAAGCCAAGTCAAGCTGAGCACGATGCTCAGCCACAAAGCAAATGAAACGCAAAGGAGCACGCTTCAAATGTCACATTATCAGATTATGCGCAATTACTGGCCTAACGATGCTAAAGGGCCAGAATACTGGCCAGCGGATGGACATGCGGACCGGCGTTTGACGATAATTGGGTTTATCCAATGGCACTCACACGCTCGAAGAGGCTGCGACAGATGTTGACATACAGGCTGAAGGTGAAGTGATTTCGTAGATCCAGCAGACGTGCCGCTATGTCGTCCACCTTCTCTGTATTATCGATGGACGACATGTACAGGTTGACAAACCAAACCAGGCTGTACTGGTACATGGGATCGATGTTGGCCAGCTCCACTGGTGAATATATTCAGTTATTAATTAATATAAAATATAAAGAAAAACTTTAAGATTTCCTCACCTATAGTAAAGAACAGAATCGTTGAATGTTCGGCTATCGGCACATAACTCAATCGCGCTATATCTATCTGTTTTTCTGTGGCCTCAGTGATGATTTGTTTCTCGCTAATATCATTGGCCAAAGCCTTGGCTGAGCTCAAAATCTGCACGGCCGTTTCATCCTCCAGAATATTTTCAGCGGAAGACAGCACCTCCAATATCTGATCTTCAGTCTCCTTTAACATTCGTTTGTTATCAGCTCCCTGAACAATCAGATTGTTCTTCTCCGCCTCCAAATCGGGTCGCTCCCTGGCCACAGTGATGCCCAACAATTGATCCTGCAAACCCTGAGTAGTGATCATGAAATTCAGCAGGGTTACCTTGACTGCCACCTCGGGCAAATAGTGCGGATTTCTCAGTTTGGTTGTCATATAGAATCTGTAATGTTGTAGTTTAAAGTTCAATTTTTAAATGATATTATAAAATAAAAATGTTACAAACCTGAAACTATGATTATACTCAATAACAGAGTCGCCCAACTTGATACATAGCGCTCCGCCCTGTTTAAAAAGTGTTTTCGTGAGCACAGATTCCAAAACGGGATCCAACTCCTCGCCAATGTTTTCCAACAGAACGGGCAGTCCAAATTGGATGGCATTCTCCATGACACGAGTGTAATCGGCCTGATTCAAGCGGATCACACAAAGTTTATTGTTCTTCTCATAGTTCTTAATCCATTTGTTGGCCTGTCCTTGTGGGTCAATCATCAAGGGCCAGCGACGGGCATTTCTGCAAAATAACAAATTTTAAATATATATAACAGTCCTTGCTAAACATTTGTACTTTAAATGATTTAATAAATGCAAGCAATTTGTCAACATGCAGCAACAATGGACCACCACAATGAGCTCATCAGTTAGTGGAAGTTGGAATATTAAAAAGAAAATACCACATAAATACACATTCAATATTTACGTCAATAATTCATAAGCGTAAATAATGCTATTGAAATACTTTCTGCTCGCATTATTTGAATCCTGTGGGTGTATGTGTTTGTGGGATTGACAGAGTGTGTGTTTTGTGTGTTTGAAATGGGGGCCAAACCTCTGGCTTCAAATATGCCAATACATCAAGCTAACGTTAAGCCACAAACAGAACTACATTACAAAAGGACTTTAGCCAGGGTACCTACAAAAAGGGGATCAAATAATAATTATAAATTATTTTTTATATAAAT